GCTCGACCGATCACCCGCCACGTGTCCTATCTACGTCCCCTCCCTTCTTCCCCATCTCCTGCACCTTCGTCCTCTTCCTTCGCTACGGAAGACGATAGCGAGTCTCCATCGTCTTCCTCCTCCTCTGCATCTTCTGCCTTCTCCCAGCCTCCGTCCCTGCCACCATCGCCATGAGCTTTCTCACGGAGCGAGCCCTCGGCAACCATCTCTTAATGCCACGGGGTTACTTCTCGGCGATTCGGCAGGTTCGTCATCCACGACTCAATCAGGATCTTCTACGACTGGCGCAATTTTTCTGCACCTCGGAAACGTATGCTGCAGCTGAGTTTCGATTCGCAGGCAGCCCTCAGGTGGTGGTACTGGCGGAAGCGGTAGCTATCCATTGGCGATCAGCCCCGGGGATTAGCCACGTGTCCACGGTCGTCGGCTTCAGCGACGATATCAGCACAGTCAATGCGCTCCGGCGCACGGCCATCCGGACGACACTGAGGGAGTGGGCGCAACAACTAGCCACAGAGTGGAACCATTCTCTTACGCGCCAAGGGGATAATCTTTTTCCCACGGACGGCGTCGAGCTCGCAGGGATTCGAGCATTCCACTGCAGCACGAGCCAGCAATAGTGCTGCCAGAGCTTATCCCTTTCCAGCCTCCCCGATGAATTGCTCCCAACTCTCCACTTTCGCCCTCCCATCTCTCTTTCCCGCCTTTTGGCAATCTAGTCTCCACCCTTGTCTCTCTTTTTGCTTAGAGCCGCTCACAGTCCCCCTTCTCGATCTTGGGCAGTGGAGACTTTGGCGCGAGCACTTCGTCGAGCTTTCGGTGTGCTTGGTTGGGGTACGGATCACGTGGACAAGGGACGAAGACCATCGCGAGTGGAGCGAGTACTTGGAGTGGCTGATTATCCAGGCCTTGAGAACGGACGTAGACGGCGATCTTCTCGGATTCTTGTTTGGATCGGTGCGGCCCAGTCATCGCCAGCCAATCACGCTAGAGCTTACGGTCCCACTTGCGCAGCTGGCCGACGACCTCCCCCTGGAGATCGTCTTGCAGAGTGATGAGAGCTCGGTCCCGCACGTCCTCATGCGGACCTCGACGCCGTATCTTTAGTGGTCAGCATGCCTGGAGGAGCCGCAGCGTGGCCGAAACCCGCCATCACAGCGGGATTATCTGAGCCCGTGCGAGGTCATCGACCTCGCCTTTTTCCAAGATCGGACGGCCTCCGAAGACGAAGAAATAGAGATCGAAGAAGAGAGCGTAGATGAAGAGGAAGAAGAAGTCGCTGAGGAGGATGAGGAGGAAGAAACTCCCGAAGAAGGGAGCTATAGGGAGCACAACGAACGGGAGCAAAGTGAGGAAGAGGAAGAAGAAGAACAAGGCGACGAAGAAGAGGAGCTAGAGTTGGAAGAGTAGGAGTGGGAGATCTCCGCGGAGGAGCTCGAGCGAGCAGAAGCGGAGCAGACGAAAGACCCCGAGGCGGCGCGCCAAAGAGAAGAGATCGCAGCCGGAAAACGACAGCTGGAATTCGCCAGCGGAGCCAATCTGCGGATCATCGACGATCCAGCCCGTGATCCTGAACCGCCCAAGCCTGAAGATGGGGACCCAGCTGCCGAGACTTCGACCGCACCGGCGAGACGGCGACGAAGTCGATCCCCCTCCTCCTCCGCTTCCGACCGTCCACCAGTTCGAGCCCGTACTGATGCGGGGCATCGGGCTTCGTCCCTGGTCGTTATCCCGCCGTCCCCTTGACCACCTCACCCTCCGCCAGGCTACTACCCACGTTGTTTTCCCCCGCAATCCCTTTCCCTTCGACACTTTCCGCTTCTTCTATGCCACCCGTTGGATTGAGGAGTGCCTCCGACAGAGGTTCCCTTGTCTAACCGAAAACCGACAGTGTCCTAGGGAATTCCACTGTGCCACAACCAGTGATCCACGGTGTTCCGATTTCCCCGCCGCGGACCACACTCACTACTTTATTTCCCCTGGCTTTGTCATTATCTCCAGTAACTTCCCTCCCTTCTGTCTTCTTCTCCCATATCACCAACTCAGGGTTATCCCGTGGAAAGCCATAGCTCCCTACTGGCGCAGCACGCCCTGCGGAAATTGCCGACAACGCGGCAACCAGAGAGCCTCGGGACCGCGAGGGCCCAACCAGAACGTACGACGACCGGCGCCATGTGGTGACAACCGACGACCAGACTCATCGGGATCACACTCACCCGGAAGGGATCTTCCGATGAACCGCCGTCCTCAACACAGATGGACCGCACGACCATAAATGACCTGCGCATGCCATCTGCCTTATGACCCGAAGTGGTCCGCCCTCTCTGCCAAATTGCACCTGTGCCCCCGAACAACTCTGCCACAGGAGATCTCAGTTCTGACCTGGGACTCCACCCCCACTTTCCCAAAAATCCTTGGCCCACCCCTTTTCGCACTTCCAGGCCCACATCTCACTCCGATCAGGAAGTCGCGCTGGGCGTGAGGTTTGGGCGTCACACGCTCCTTACCAACTTAGCTACGCCGCTGGATTGGACCCATCTTCCGGCCTGTACACAAAGGTAAAAAACAAAACAAAAAAAACCTACTAATAGAACGCCGGGTCTATGCAGCTGTACTGTATCCTTTTTTTTTTTTTGGATACTAGACGGAGGTACTGGGGGTAAGCAGAGATGCCTACCCCCTGCTCAGCCCGGTTGAAGCAGACGCCGTGCAAGCCTGATTGCACGGGGACTTCGGGAGCTACGTTTGAACATGCCACTACAGGTCTTCATGAGGGTGCACAGTGACTCCCATCTAGCTTAGTTGTGTGGTGATGGTAGAGAGCTGGGTATCCTCCGTTCCCTCGTATGTCCCTGGAGCCCGTTCCGGCCATGACACCCCCGACATCCCGTACTAAGGAACTGGTATGCCAGCCTCAACCCTATGCTACGTACTAGGAGGATAGCCAACACTAGGTCATGAGTTATGGACTGAGTTTCTTTATCCTTATGTTGTCTTCTTACTACAGTGTACTATGATGTTGATGGTAGAGAGATGGGGATCCTCCGTTACCTCGTATATCCCTGGAGCCCGTTCCGGCCCCGCGGTAAGGTGCAGTATCTCCTGACACCCCCGACATCCGTACTAAGGACTGCTATGCCAGCCTCAACTCTAAGGTACGTACTAGGAGGATAGCCCACCCTCAATCGGGAATAATGGACTGTATATATTGACCTGGATAATCTCTAAGCCCTGTGTTGTATGGTAATCTGAGAGCAGACAATCCTCTGTTCCCTCGTATGTCCCTGGAGCCCGTTCCGGCCCTGCGGTAAAGTGCACTATCTCCTGACACTCCCGACATCCCGTACTAAGGAACTGCTATGCCCGCCTCAATCCTTTGACCACGTACTAAGAGGATGACCAGCCCTAAGTTACAGTCTGGTATCGAACACAGGACCTTATGTGAATCGTGCAAGTGACCTAACCTATTGACATACACTGTGAAATAGTCTGTAGCTGTGCTCTGCTGGGCTCGAGTAAACCGGACTACGCGAGCCACCCAGCAGTCTCATGACAACCCCGTAGACCAAGAACATCAGGATACCCACCATCGCCCAGTCCCCACATACAACAACCATGGACTACCCCTTGGGTGGTGCGCAGGCAGTGTCTGTAATAACTTACCTGCGTCATCCCAAGGGGGTGTGTGTCCAGGGCTCGAGTAAACCGGACTATGCGAGCCACCCAGCAGTCTCATGACAACCCCGTAGACCAAGAACATCAGGATACCAACCATCGCCCAGTCCCCACATACGACAACCATGGACTACCCCTTGGGTGGTGCACAGGCAGTGTCTGTAATAACTTACCTGCGTCATCCCAAGGGCATGTGTGTCCAGCCGTGCGTCATTCTAACGCCCTGCCTGTGTCCATGCGCAAGGCTGTGGAGTTTTGAACCCGCAACCTTATACCACAATGCGCATTTCCAACCGGTGGTCTAACCACTGAGCTACAGGGTCATCATTCAGTCTAGATATGGCGATAGTGGGCCTGGTGGGTTATCGCCTGGTGGGTGGGTTCTATTCGGGGGATGGTTGTGGCCCCTAACTAACCGCGACGACGTATCGGGCACGGTCGATGGCGGGTAGGAGCTACTGCGGACGTACGCACACTGGTAGTTCTTTCAGAACAGGAAATGTATCTGACTCTAATTACGTCCACGACTGGAGGAATCGGACTGAGATCACGTCCAGAGCCCAGAGCTTAGTAGGAAAAAAAAGTCCTGGTATGAATGAGTATGCACAGATTCTCTTTTTTCCCTTGTCTCTTTTTTCTAGCTCCTGTTTTGAGGAAAGTTTCGGAAAGTTTCGGACCCCTGGGGCAAGGTCCCACTAGCAAAGCGGATCGGATCGAATGCCTGAATCTGGACGAGTTTATGGAGATGTGCAGGAAATCGAGATTGATTCAACTGCTTTTCTGCATCTGTGCTTAAAACACATCCAGATTCCGGAGCTCTCGTGGGACCTACATAGGTCCCACTTGCACGGACGGATTACGAGATTCTGACCGTTGATCTCTGCTATCTACGGTCAATATCTCTTAATTCGTGTAAGTGGGATCTAGCTCCCGGTCTGTTTTTTTGTCAAACGTTCTATGTGTGGGTCCTAATCAGCCAACCACGAAGGGGAACAGTAGAGCGGTCGAAGCCGAAAACGGGACCAGGGGGGCTGTATGGAACGAAGAGCGGCGGAGCTCATTCCTGACCACCGAAGGCGGACGACAAACTGTCCCAATCCAATCCAGGCCAGGGTTACATGCATCGGCCCATCTATCCGACTTTCTGAGAGAGAGAGAGAGAGAGAGAGAGAGAGAGGGGGGGGGGAGAGAGAGAGAGAGAGAGAGAGAGAGAGAGAGAGAGAGGGCGGGGGGAGAGAGAGAGATGCGCACAGGGAAGAGGAGGAGGAGGAGCAGCGTCTCGCGAGACGACCACGTGGCGACACGTGGCACGTGGACACACGTGGACGGCTTTGCCCTCGGCTTTCCTCAGATCGGCGCGCAGCTTGCCTCGCCGGCACACACACATACACACACACACACACACACACACACACAGAGAGAGAGAGAGAGAGAGAGAGAGGGTGCTACCATATCTCCTGCGTTGGCGGGTGTAGAGGACGAACGATCCGTACAGAACGGAGATAAGTGCTTGGGAAGGTAAGCGGCAGCTTCTTTTTTTTTTTTTGTTTTTTTTTTTTTTAATAACGTGCAGAGAGTTGGCGCTCGGGGGAAAGAAAAAGTAAGGGAAAAAGGGAAAAAAAAAGAAAAGAAATTAAGAAAGGTTTAAGAAACTTCGAGAGGGAAAAAAAAAAAAAAAAAAGAATGCAGGTGATGTAGAGCAGAGTAGGAGTGTGTTGATAGGATTTGGATTTGGAATGGGTGGGCGGTTTTGCTGAGGTACCCTCTTTTTTTCTCCCTTGAGTTCGTTTTTACGTTCTTCATCATTTCGTTGAGGCCTCCCCTTTCACTTTATGTGTGTGTCTTTTTGCAAACCCCCTCCCCTGCCCGTTCCGCTGCGGCGCCCTCCC